CAGAGGAATCCCAATTGCATTGAGCATATGACTCTATGTGGGACCATTCCAGTACCGAAGCTGCAATCTAGGAAGCTGAATCCATACATGAAGTTTCTCCACATCTTCAATTTTAAAGCCCTCTTCAACTGACCAGCTTTTAATTATCATAGGTCTACCATCAAAGTGTTAAACAGGTTGCTTCAATACCTCCTCTTTTGCAGGAATTGATTTAAATCTGATTAAGTAAACCCCATTATCCATCAACAAGACTTTATCAATTCCAAATTTCCCCCGAATTCGACGAATGAACCCATTAACCACATAAAAAGGAGGACTCGCCCCTATGATGTAACAGAGTACTGAGGATTTCCAATAATCATTACCCTCTTGCAGTTCATCCCTTTGAATTGTAGCTATGGTGTTATTTTGAATTACTGTTGGCTCAATGCAAGAAAGCTTCCTTTCATTCCCCTGAAGCCTTTTTGGATCGAAGCTATCCCAAACAATTTCGTTTTCCTTAACCCTAGCTTCCATTTCCAAACCAGATGTCGTAATTTCACTGCTCTTCGATGATTCTCCTACTAATACTACTTTTTTATTACACATTTTTTCAAGAAAAGCAGTAGAACTAGCAGGTTGAGACGAATTAAGGCTATATATATACCTTCTTTGCCAATTTGTCTATCTTGTTTGCCGTATTAATCTTTCCATTCACCAGTTCACGTTCCTCCTTTGATTGCTCAAGCACTAAGCTCTCTCACTGGCCTTCCTCCGCTTCTTATGTTTTCCCACCATTGTGGGCATGCGGTGGGCACACCAAAAAACTTGAAGGATTACACGCAGTAATCGCGTAACCACCCGCAGTGCCGATTTTCCTTTTGTTTTCTTTCTTTTTAGGGAAAGGTTTAATTTTATATATTGTTGATGTATAGTAGTATTATTTTGTAATATTAAATTCTAGTAAAATTTTATTATACACATTTATTTTGTTACTTTTCTAGGATATCTAGTTAAAAAATAAAGGTGGCCCGAACAAATTTTTCTATACAATGTGGCAGCCACAAAATTATTACACATTTACACCACAACTGTTATTTATGAAAAAATAAATTTAAGTAAAATTTAGGGGGTGGATTTTTGAAGCCACCCACTTTAGTAGTCAAAGCCACGAAAAAAAAATTTGGACCATTTTGCCCCTGTCATTTAACAATATTTATATCTTAATGGTTAAACTCTCGATTTTATATTTACTTGAAAATAAACAAGTAATTAATTTTTACTTGAAAATAAATTTAAGATTATTCGTTAAGTTAATTTAATTGAATTGATATTAAAATATAAATTTTACTTCAATCGTTATTTTAAAGATAATTTTTAGTTAAAATAATAATTATACATTTATAATGAAAAATTATAATTGTACTACAAAGATTGTGATAAATATGTGCAAATAGATTAACTATTTTTTGTAATACAAAGATTGGTGATACTTAATATAACTCAAATAAAAAAAATTTCATAAATTTAATGACCTAAAAACTAGATTAACTAATTACAAAAAAAAAAATCTAAAATTTTAGATTTTTTGTTGTAATTAGTTAATCTAGTTTTTAGGTCATTAAATTTATAAATAATTTATTATTCGAGTTATTTTAGTCAAGTTATTTGATTTGAAAAAATGACAAGGGTAAAATGGTCCAAATTTGAAAGTGGTGGCTTCAAGTAGTAATTTTGGTGGCTTGAAAAATAAACACCCAAAATTTATGGGCGGTGAAGTGAAGATGTCATTCAAATATAGTATTCTCTATGTTTCAAAATCGTCATCTACTTTTGGATTTTCACATTTTATATAATTTGAACTAAAGTTTAAAATCAAAACTGAATAATAACTTCAGAACAGATGGATCAGATATTATACCAAAACATTCCCCTCTCATTGACATAATTGAGTCAATTTTATTATTCTCAATTACAGGTTCTCCAATGCCAATAAATGGAATTGTCTTAATTACTCCCTCTATCTCGATCATTTAAAAATCACAACTCCTATGTATGTGGGATAATGATTTGAACACAAAAAGTTTGGAGGGAATATTTACAAGGAATTAATCATGACCATTCACTTTTAACACTTTTTTATTTAGGGGTTCAGCATTTAAGATTATGGTATAGTTTTGATGATTGACACATCATTCCCTATAAATTTTTCCTCCATGTACACATGTATGTATGGAGGGTAAAGAGTCAAACAGATTCTCCTTATCTAATTGGTATTAGTAATGAAATTAAGGGACAACTCTCTCTGTATTTCTCAATTCTGATCCCTTTGTAAATATGTCATCAGTTGTCACATATATGAATGTTTTGCTAATATTGAAAATAAATTAAGATTACATCTCTTGCCTCCTTAAACTAAAAAAATTATTGATAGCCTCATGTCTAGAAACTAGGTTCTATATTCTTAAAATATAGTATCCCAATTACATTATTTTCTAACTAACATTTAATGTTAGGGACAGAAATTATTGCAAACCGCAGGGTCCTTGTGCAACCTGTAAAGCCAGCAAGACCGCTATAAAATTTTATTGAATAATTTTACTCAAAAAAATAAACAAAACTCTGATTTATTAAATTAATATTTTTCTGCATTAGGTGTAAATATAGAGAGGGATATGATACAAAATATTTGATTGAGCTCTTGCAAACTTGTTCTTTCAATTCACTTAAATACGATTTCTTTTTTTTTGGGTGAAAAATTACAGAGTACAAGTTAGATTAATGTGAAAGCGGAAAATTAATTATTCTAAAAAAGATGAACATTATGCAAAGAAAGTTAAAATCTCCTCTATATTAAGAAACTTTAACCTTTTTGTTTTAAGTTAACACAATTATATCTTTTGTGAGGTAAGTTTTTACTTTCTCTTTCATACTAAGATTAATTTTTTGAACTTTATGTGTGAGAAATGAATTTTTTTTTAAAAAAAAAAAGATACTTGTATTATAAGAGAGGCATAAAGTCTAAGAGCTACGCAGTAACATTGTGGGAGTATGATGCCAATACAACATCATGTCTAAGTCACCGTGCAATTTTGAGCTATGCACACATCCAACCCCAATTCCAAAGTTAAAAAAGAAGACTTTACTTCTAGAGTTAAAACAATATTTTTAAGGAATGGTGATACAAGTAAAGAAAAATTGACAAAGATATTTACAAGAAATGGGGTGGTTAAACCCTTAAATGGGGTTTAGGAAACGTATAAGAATGAATAATTTCAGTCTCTTTTAAAATTCACTATAAAACAAATTATTATTCATTTGTAATTGCATAGTTAAAAAACCACAAAAAAAAATAATAATAAATTGCATAGTTGACCAAAGCATTCAAAAGCAATGTCTCTGTTTAACTATCCCTCAACCAAATTTTTCTAATTTGTTTAAGTTAAGAAAGAACCAATGCTTCTTTTACTATAAACATTTTTTACAATAATAATAGTGAATTACTAAGAGGAGGTCATGAGTTCAATTCCCCACTCCAACAAAAAGTGAGGGATTGGCTCTCACCTTATCTATTGGCATCTCTAGGAACTTGTTATGCATAATCTACTAATAAACCCCCAATTTTGCATCCGAGCTTGTCATGGTGATTTACCTCCCACTATGGTTTGCAGGCTATTATAGTGGGTGTGGGTTTACTCATCTTTGGTGGGGTTCCTGGCGTTAAAAAAAAAAGTAATAGTGAATTGATAGATTTAACATTGTCACTAATCGCAAAAAAAAAAAAAAACTTCATAATTTGTGTAATTTAATCTATTCCCAGTTGATTTCAGATTAGATGGTCTGAGACGTGATTGTGCATTTATTGGTTCAGTCGCTAAGTTAAGTTTTAGATTAGACGGCCTGACAGAATGATTGCGTATTTATTGGTTCAGTGACAAAAAATAAAGTTTGAATTAGACTGTCTGAAAACGTGATTGCGCATTAATTTTTTCAGCGATCGCTGAATTACGAGTAGCAATATATGCGTGTCTGAGAATGTGATTGCAGGGCGATCGCTAAATCAAGTATAGATAAGACGGTCTGAAAACGTGATTACATTTACACATTCATTGATTCAAGGATAGCTAAGTTAAGCGTGAATTAGACGGTCTGAAAACGTGATATCTGCATTTATTATTTCTGCCATGTCTAATACATGATATGTAGGTAGATGTTATTTGGTATTCAACTACTTCTAATATTAATATATTTAATTCTTTTTTTAAAAAAATGTAATTCTTTTTTTACATTAAAAAATTTCTTTTTTATATTCCAAAGAAATTCACATAGTAAATTATATTTTGTATAATACAATTCATAATCTATAATGTGAATTTATATTTTTTTCTTTTTTTTTTTGGGAACACCTAAATTTGTTAATTTTTTTTTACTAAAAAATTTGTTAATATTTGAAATGAATTAATTAGCCAATATGTATGAGTTACCTTTCCACCTTTTCAAAGCTGGTTATTGTCCAAAAATAAAAAATAAAAAATAAAAGAAAGACAGTAAAGCTGGTTATTCAATATTCACTTCATACTGCGATCATACATGAAAATTTATTCTATGCGCTTGGTGCATCAACAAATTAACATAAATATTTTTCAATTTTATTTCCCCTTATATTATAAGCTTATTATTTTAATGTGTCAGGCTGTAACACATAGGGATGTGCAGCCGGTGTAAGGAATAATTTGTCGGTCATATATGTCTTACGTGGCTTCTTCTTATCTCTCTCCACAATTCAACAACCGGCTATTTCCAGTAAAGCACACGTGTCATTTTCTCACATCTCTCCAGTAGCCAACGACCGGCTACTTCCGGTTAAGAAAAGCTCATAAATAGTCGGTGTTTTTATTTTTCATTTCATCTCAAATTCTCAACCTCCTCTTTCGATCATCCCCACAGCGAAGCACCGCCACTGGCGACGGTTTTATTATAATCGGCGGGTTTCTATCTTTTTCTTCTATTTTTTTTTTTTTGGTGGTTTCCGGCAGAGCACAAAAGCAGAGAAGCACAGTATGCCAAAAAATTCTTACCCTGCTCTTTTGAATTATCATGGTTGATTACAAAGTTTTACTGTTCCCAATTTTTAGATGCTTATTCGGTTGCTCTTTGATTGAAAGTTTTATCTGATTCAGTTCATTTCTAATTTCGTTAAAATAGTGAATCGCTACTAAATTCACTTGGACGGATATGTAAATGGAGTTAAATCTGACTTATCTTTTTCTGGTGTCTTAACATATGTAAGCGTTATAACAATTGGCTATTTAATCTTCATTTTGATAATTTGGGATCCTTCATTTCTAGATCAAAGATAAAATCCTGTCCTTTAACTAATTGTTTGAAATTTGGCGATAAGTATCCTTGCTTACCCATTTAATAAACCTGTTCCTTGATAGCATTTTGTCCTGAAACCAGATGGTCTTAGATTTTGTTTGAAACTTCATCACTTGTTCGTTTCAGATATTAAAGCGAAATCCATGGAGGGTGATTCTTCACTAATACCAATGGAAGTATTCTGGGAGATCTTGATGTGGCTCCCTGTCAAATCCCTGATGCGATTCAAGTGTGTCTGCAAGCTCTGGCTATCCGTGATTCTGAACCCATCATTTGCCAGGGCTTATCGAGGCGGTTTCAAAGGTCTTCTGCTTACCAACATTCGCTACCTTTCGCAGTACTCGGATGTTGATGTTGATTTCTTCTACTTGAACTTACTGGAGGGTGAAGGTATGTTAACCAACATGTTTCATCAATATACTCTGCATCGTGGAGGAAAAAAGAGGTTCACAGGGGTTGTGAATGGGCTGGTATGTTACTATTGCGGAAAGTATTCATGGATATATAATATTGCTACCAGAGAAAGTATGCAACTTCCGGACTCAACCCATGATTCCATCGCTTGGTTTTACCATCTTGGTTTTGATCCCTCCAAGCAAACTTACAAGTTAATCAAAACATGCTACGACCGGAGGGAGTTGGAAAAATTTCAGAAAGATGGGAGGGATGTCTTCCCTAGTAGGATAAAGAGTGAGATTTTCACTATAGGTGTTGATTCATCATGGAGAAGCATCGATCACGCGCCTTGGGTGGTGTACAACACTGGTTTGTGCATAGATGGAGTTCTATATTGGACTGATCCAGAAATATGCTCCAGAGGCCAACTCCTTTGTTTTGATCTTGCTCGTGAGGAATTCCGGTTTGTTTTTCACCCTCAGGAAAGCTTGGTACACCGGTTGCGTTTGTTGTGGTTTGGGCCAAATGTAGCTCTATCAGCCTCCAAAATCCTTCCTGATTCTAATCAGGCAACAGTGCTATATCTTCACAATGATGGTACCGCCAGTCAAGATGGTGGGATGCAGGATTCTTGGAAAGAGCATATTGTTTATCTCCCACAAGTGTTAAAACCAGGAGAACCAGAACAGTATGCTTTATACACCCCCATGGGTATACTCCCCGGCGGAGAGGTGATTTTTATGAATAGAATCAAAATCAATTGGGAGTTTCCGGCAGTGCTATATTTATACGATCCAACCAAGCGGGAGGTCAAGAAGCGTTATATGTGGAGTTGCCCATCCTCGATTGCACAACAACACAAAGTTGATATTAGTGACTATGTGTATCTCTGGCATTATGAGGAGAATATCATGCCATTAAACTGTCTGGGTTCTCAGTCGCGATCCACCTCTGAATGATTGGTTAGGCAATGCGCTGCTGGTGGTTTCTTATTTGAGGCATTAATATATTGCTCTGTAGTTCAGATTGGATGTTGTAGTTGAAGAGTGGAATAAAAGGGAATGGGTTATCCCTATCTAGTTAGTTAAGGGAAGCTGAAGTGCCCATAAAAATATTAAGTCTAGCTCTTAGTGTAAGGTGATCAATTTAAGCTCATGGATCAAATCATGTACTAGTTTGTTGTGTGTTCTTCATTGTTAACCTCTTATAATAATCTGGGCTTACAAATAAGATTGAATGCTTATGAAATAGAGATATAATTATTGCAGAAGTTTTGCAAGCTCCCAATCATAAGTTCATATGGCCAACATAGATGGGCCAAATTCCTGTGCATTGAACCAATGAATATGATTTTCGGAAATCGGAAGCATCACCCCTGCCAGTTAGGCCTCTGTTTCCAGGCTTATAAACAACCTCTGTTTCCCCACGAATCCGTGTTGATCTGCATTTTTAACAATGTAAAAGAAAACACCAATTCATCTATCCGCCTTCTGCTGTTCATTTCTGTCCCACAGCTCAGAACACAATAATCTTATTGTGGCATCAGCTTGATTCGGGCAAACTTTGCAGATTCTTGTCGCTGGCTCGCTGCATCTTCAATGTTTTGAGGTCTTAGCAACTTTGTATAGTGCCTGATACAAATTGAGCCAACGAATTGCAGATAATTCAGCGGTACTTATGATAGGAAGTTGATGGCAATAGTGAGTTCAGAGCTTTGTAGATTCGGTTGGCAAGTTGCATATGGTTAGAAAGCAGTCTTAAATAATTTAAGTTAAATCTACTTATCCCATTCATCGGCATCAAGATGTTTACAAGTTACAACTCATTAGCTACTGGTATTGAAGGTGTTAAAAACCAAAAAAGAGAGAAAAAACATTTTACCATGGTATTATATATCTAATTTCTGTGATGGGATGAACTGAAGGACTTATAGGAATTTTCTAAGGCCCGTTAATAGAGAATGGAAATGAACTCGTAATCAGAAAGTGACTTAAACAGTTAAACCAATTGCTCTTTAGTTTGTAAACACCCCCAAAAAAAAAAAAGAGAGAGAAAGAAAGAAAGCATGTGAGATTTAGTTGACTAAATTTTACATTTCCCTCCAAAAAACATGATACGGTTCATCTACACAGTTGTGTTTGCATTTATATTATTCTTAACAATATATTTAATAAGTGTTTCTTTACTAATATGACGTACCCTTTCTATAGGGAAAATTTTACTTTATGTTCCTTGCAAATAGGGTGACTTGGCAAAAAAATAAATAAATAAATAAATAAATAAAATAAGGGTTTTCTAGTTTATCTACTATAAGAATAGGTTTCCCAAAATCATGTGCCATGTGTTTGGGTTTGTTGTTTTAAGTTTTTTTTTTTTTATTTTTTTACTAGAAGTGTGGGAAATTTTTGACAAAAAATCAAGATGCAATTTACTAAAATTTGACTGGAAGAGAAAATCAATTAAATTTAGGGGCAATTTGCTCATTTTCAGAAGTTTGGGGCACAAACGTAGAAGTTTGGGGCAAAATTTTGTTAATTTTTTTGAAATGAAAATTAGTTAAAACAACAAATTCAAACGGCAATTTATATAGTAAACCATGTTCACAATAGATGGTGGACTTGTTTTAGGAATTGTATTACACGCTTTAAAAAAGAAGTTAAATTTCAATTAATTTTTATTATAATAACCACGCACGTCAATATAATTGATATTTTCCCCTTATTGTTCTCTTTATCCTGTAGCCAATCGTATCTAAAAGATCAAAACTGAAATCTAGTATCTTATCAACACTATTTGGCGGTTCATTTAACTTTTCATCTATAAAATAAAGCAAAAATTGAAAAGTAGATACAAACTATTTTTATTCATCTTTAAAAAAAATATTAAGAATTGCAAGATTGAGTTTTGATTTGAATCAAATCCTTTTGATGTCGTTTATGATGAACGATGATACTTTAGAAATCTATCAAGGAGGTGGCAGTGACGAGCACTCAAATGATGACGCTAACAATGGATTCACCCAAGATTGTAGTTTTCACAGCTGAAACCAACGACGATGATCTGGCACAACTTCAATTGATACTCATTGAAGATGATGTATTATCCCCAACAACTTCAATTAACATCCGTTCATGAAGATGAACTTCCTCCACATGATTCTGATAATGTTGAGTTTACATTTAAAAAGTTAGAAAACAATAGAGTTTTCGATGAACATGTACTTATATGTTAATGAATAATTTTTAGCAAAACCATGAACACGCTTGTCTATATTATTCATTCATGAACTTTTCTTTAAATGGGTTTGAACATTTTATCATATTGAACACTCAAGTCTGGTTCGTGTTCTTATTTTATTACATGTATGAATATGATGCAAACTTATCATGAATATGATAGTTGCGATATATGAATATTGACTATATTTATCATGAACATAATATGGTCATGAACATATTACAAATTGTGAATGTAATTATGAACATTATTTAAAATTTTCATGAATATAGCATAATATGATCGTGAATATTTTGTTATTATTGTTACAATGTGCTATTAGTTATGAACTTTAGATTAATATACCATTAAAAAACGCATTTAGCATTCATGATTTTTTTTTTGGTTATATAAGTTTGAACATCTTAGGAGAAAAATAGTATTATTTTTATTATAAATGTATGAATTTTGTGCATATTTATCATGAATATTACATTTGCGATGTATGAATGTTGTATAGTACTTTGTTATAATGTATAAACATTGTGCATATTTGTTACGTTTATGGTAAATTAGTTTTATAATTGTTGACATCATTAATCTTGATACTTATAAACATTGCCATGAATTTTTATTATATGCAACACAGAATTGTCATGAATTTTTAATATGACCATCATGCAATATAATATGTTTTTTTTTTTTGCATATTTCTAGTTTAAGTCATGAACATTATTATTTTTATTATTTGTTTACAGTTTATCACGTATTTTTGTGTGGTAATGTGTAATTTTATTTTTATTATATGACTATAGTTGTAATTGAATTTGTTTATTGTTAGGATTGTATTTTTTTGTTACCATAAAATTTGGATACAATTTGAATTGTAGTTTGTTAGGATTTAGTTAGTTATGAATTTTAAATAAATAAAAAGAATCTGATTGAATAGATAAGAGAGAGATAAAAACTAAAATTGTAGGAGCGCGTGTAAATAATAAACCAGTTCACCAAATATTGTGAACTGTATTGTACGATATAATTACTCAATTCAAACATAGAGTGTGTGATCACCTATTTTGAGGGTACATAAAGTAAAACTTTCCTTTTCTAATTAAATAGTCAAACATGTAAATCATACTCCCTCTATCCCTACATTACATAACTGTTTAGTTTTGATGTTCTTTTTTTAATATAAAATGATACTCACTCTATCTAACATTATTTTCAAATTTAGACTTTCATTTTTTTTTCCTTTTTTTTTAATGTTGAGTGAACCACAAAACAAGTCATTGAATTATTGGGTAATTTCATCAAAGGTCATCAATCAAATTTATTTCCAAAATCGATCTCCGTACTAAGCCAAAAACCTATCTAAAATAATTCTATTAGTTTTGGCCGTTAAATAGTGACGGAAAGATATTTTTCACATACTTTTGGGTGCAGGGGTATTTTGTCATTTTTTAATTTTTAATTTTTTTTAACAATTCTTATTCTTATCTTCTTATACTTCTTACCTTGTATAAGTTGATGCTGGTACTAGTAAAATTACTAAATTTCTAAAAATTAATTTATCTTTTGTATTTCAAGTGTAGATTCGGATTAGACAAATCCGTGACAACTAATTTTTGTCCACATAAAATGGAACAACTTATTTTTCTCCAAATCTATTTTGGAATTTTTTTTGGTCCAAGCACCCCTAGCAAAGTAAAAAAAAAAAATAATTATTAATTTGAAAAAAAATATAAAATAATAAATATTTAAGATTAGTTTGTTCATGATAAATATGAGAAGAATAAGGTAAAAAATGCATGACATTTAATATTTTTGGATAGAAAGATTTGCTTTGGATAAATAAAAGTGAAAAAAGTAAAATTGAAAAAGAGATGTGTTAAAGTTAACATTGGGTTCATTTGAAAAAAAAATTAAAAATTGGGAAAAAACTGATAAAATTATAAAAGTTTGGGCAGAATATGTAATTATATTTTCTTAAAAATAACTAAAAAAATCATATTTTGCCGGAATACTGGCCAGATCCAGCCAATAAAAAAATCATGTTTCACTGGATAATAATTTGGATAAAACATAAATACAGTTATAAAAAGTTATAATACAATGAATGAATAATAATAATCAAATCTTAATATGAAATAGTATTGATCGTATATATCATCCCCATCTGCAAATGCATAATCATATATGATCTTGTCCTTGTCAGTAATATTTTCAGTCTGCATTCCTTCTTTTCTCTAGAATGGCGACATACCATTTAGCTAAAGTTCATCTCTGATTTTTCGTGGGTCTTGTTTTTCCCGCTGAAAACCCTACAATAGTACAGGATGAATAAAAAAACTGTTAATAATGCATAATTAATGTATATTGGATGAATATTAAATGTAATAATTTAATAACGTGTGTATACCCACCAACGTATTCTTTGATCTTATCTACCCTGGAACTTTGTGGATCTGGGTTATCACATGCACTGTCAATAACCTTACTGGGTGTAGAGAAGTTACTGATTGCATCAGATATAATGTTATCAAGGCTTTTCTTCTTGATGCCATTCAAACCCTCATTTTCATTTTTTTTTTTTTTTTTGCTGCTGAACTCCTTCAATTGTTTCCTAGACGGTTGTACAAGGTGAATATATAAAAATGTAATAATGAATATACAGTGGTAGCTAAATCTGAGAAGTGCATATGGACTGTTATGTTCAATTGATGCAGATTTACATGGTATATGATGAATATATGAAGATTTTATGATGAATAATAGTACCAATCTTTGAAGTCTAAGATACATTACCTTCATTATTTAAAGTTTTATCCAACTAGGTCAACCTAATGCTCCAATTTGGTTGTGACAAAGGTTCGTCATGTGCTTCTCTCTTGCGTGGCTTAGTCACAAGTTCTGATGATGTTGATGCACCAAAAAAGAACCCTCCAAACCTTCTGTATCATTCCAACATCTCTTCGCTGTCGTACCATCATAGCAATTGGCTTTGTTTCATTGTCTTCGGTCCATAAATTATCAGT